TGGATCATATGAGTCTGGCATTTGGGAGCTGCAGTATGTCTAAAGCCAACTGGGTGTCTGCACTAAGTCCAGCACCAATGTGGTGAGCCCCTGGAAGCAGAAAGCCACCAGACTGCCTAAGGAAGGGCAAACTAAACCAGGGTAGAAAAATAGAGTAGTTTAAAGCTTGCCTACTGATGAGTATTGAGATCAGGGCTGAGTGACCATTACACTTCCAACCGGATTTAACAGGGAGATCCTATCTCCCTCCCTTCCTGCCACCCCAGAAAGATCCACAGTCAGATGCAAAAGTTCAATAAGGAAATGAAAACTTGATGTTTCATTATATGTATTCCACTTTGCAGTCTATCATTTCCTAATTTTTATTCATCAGCACTTCTTATCTATCAAGATAACCACAAGGCACACTTCAAAAATTCTTCTTTATTTAAGGAATACATACATACACACATATTTACACATACACATAACATACATGTATAAAGACTAGATGAAACCACCATCCTAGAGAAGTAACTCAAAATAAGAAAGCACTTCATATATTCTGCTGATTCTAATACATTTATTTCAAATACTTCACAGAACAGAAGATAACAATGAGGGGTAAAACTCAGAAATACACAGCATATTTATGGACGACACATGAAATGAAATGGAAGGTACAGATGGCAAAAGAGTAAGTTTGGGTCCATATGGCATGTGTGGTAGAGAAGATTCTTGTACGAATAAGCAAAGACTTCTGGGAGACAAAAAGTACATGGGTAAAAAACAACAGAGGAGGAGAGGGCAAAAGGAAGGGGGAGAGGGAGAGGGAGAACGTTCTACATCAAATGGTGTCAACTGAAATCTTGTTAAAAGTTCACAGCAGCATGCACATTCTCGGATACAACAAAATACTTTAAGGCTGTTCTGTATATTTCCTGCTGCTATGCAAATCTATTTCTTTTTTCAAATCTGAACAAGACTGCATAATATTCTTTGCAGGGGCTAAGGGATTGAGAGGTCAAATCTAGTCCAACCCCTCGTTTCACTAATGAGGAAAGAGAAGTTCAGAAAGAGTGATTACCTCAACATCATAAAATGAGCTAGGAGAAGAAATGGGACTACAATTTGAGTCTCCTGATTCTTATTATAAGAATCTTTCCACTAAACTCCTAAAGATTAGGCAGTCAAGTTCATAGGGGAAAATCACTTTAAAGACACAAATAACAAATGCCAAGTATAGTAACTGAGATCCATTCAACTGAAATGCCAGAAGGTCTGTGGAAAGACAGCTGGCCTAATAATCCCCTACCTTCTCCTCCCACATCATCCCCTGTCCTGAATTTTTAAACCCGTCATCCGCTGGCTCCTTACCTACTGTTTACAAGCATCCCCAGATCTACTCCATTCTTAAAAGAGCCTTCACTTGATCGTACCATTCTCTCAAGCTATTAGAGGTCTCCTACCCCACATTTTGCCTCCCTTTTACAGGCAAACACTTAGAAAAAAACGATTTCATTGCTTCTAGGCTCACTTCTTAATCTGGCTTCTGACTTTGCTCACCTGAAAATTTTCTTTGTAAGGCTACTAATGATCTGCTAGATGCGTTGCTTGGCCTCTATTCTCTTTGCAGTATTTAGCACTATTTACCATTCTCTTCCTCCTTGATATCATCTCCTCCCTGGGTGTTCACGTTCATTCTCCTATCCAACTAACTATTCAGTTGCTCCTTTTCTGTGTCTTTGCTAGATCATCATCTAGGTCCCATCCTCCTAACAGGTGCTCTTCTCTTCTCCCTTGGTAGTCTCATCAGCTTCCAGGGACTCAACTATCATCTCTATCCAAGACTTGAAGATACATACCCTCCCCACCACACACACTTATGTGTGGGTGTATCTATCTGGGAGTCTTCTGGATGTGTGTGTGTGTGTGTATGTATGTATGTATGTATGTATGTATGTATGTATGTATGTATGTATATGTGTGTGTATACTGAACTCCAGTCCCACATTATCAACTGCCTAATGGATATTTCCATGTATCCATCCTCTTATCAACTTCCATATTTCTGTTAAGGATTGCACCATCCTTCCAGTCAGCCAGGGTCTCAAACTCAGTCATCTTTCATTCTTCTCTTTCCCACAATCCCAATCAGCTGCCAAGCCTCATCGATTCTACCTCCACAATATCCCTCTTATCTCAAACATGATATAAAATGACTTTGGAATTATGTAAGAAACGCCACTAAGCTGTTCATAGCCTCTGACCCAGGAAATTGCATTCAGATGTATATTCCAAAGAGGTCAATGACTGAAAGAAAGTTCTTATATATAACGAGTCATGGTAGCACTCCTACTGTGATAGTAAAGAACTGTTTTTTTTTAAGTAGGTGCCCATCAACAGGGAAATTTCTAAATACACTGTAGTCTATTAATGAAATATAATATTATTGTACAGTAAGAAACACTCACATGAAGAATTCGGAGAAACACAGGAAGATACAGGTGTGGGAAAAACAGAACCAAGTGAAAAATTTCACAATGACAACAATAATGTCAAGAAAAAAAACACTAAAAGGAAGCTGAACTCAACTGGTATAATGAAAAATCTTGGTTCTGAGAAGAGAATAAAACATAGTTTTCTTCTCAGATGGAAAATAGATTGTAGAGTAGGGAATTGTGGGTACCAAATTTTGTATACGCAGATTTTAGCCATCACTTTGTTTATTTTTATTTGTTACAAGAGAGGGCTTAAGGAGGAGGAAGAAATGGGTTATAAAATCAGAAATGACTGTGATGCAGATTAAAAGTATAAAATTTCACTACTTGCAATTTAAAAGCATATGCTTCCTCTAATTTTTTATAACAAAGCAAATTGGAAATATGTTGGTGCCATGAAGACTTCTGACTTAATAATTAAAACTTGTACCTCTTATAATACAAGTATCCAGACAACTATGTACCATGTTTGAACATTTTTGATTTCAGTATTGTTGAGTTTCTTCTAAAGAAGGTCAATTTACTGAAGCAATAACACTTCAACAAAGTTATTAAGATCCATCTACTCAGATGATAGGCAGTACATATGTGGGTATGGCCACTTAGTCATTTCAAACTGATGACAACTCTATGTGGCTTACCAAAATGTACATACAAAATGCAGTGGAAATTTTTTTTAAAATTGCAATTTCAGTTCATTTTTAATTCTTTAGTTTCTAATATACTAGAACATTTAGTACTACAAACTCAAAAAAATAAATACCAAAAGCACCTCCTGTGGAGTCACAGAATATTAACAAAAGGAATCTTTGGGAGACAATCCCTTCACTTCACAAATGAGAATCTTAAACACTAAGTTATCATATAGCTTTATTTAAGGATAAGACAGGACTATGACTTATAGCCAAGGCAGCATTTTAATACCACATTAAAACTACTTCATTTTACCTTCTACTCCTAGCTCTTACATAGTGCAGAATGGCTACTGAAGCTGCCAAGGAGCCACATGACCAAAAAATACTAGCGTGAGCTCAGAATTAAATAATTGAACTTAGTGCGAATGTTTTTTTGTTTTGTTTTTACCTTAGCTAATGTGGCATAGTTGACAGAGCTGCCCTTGGAACCATCAAGACATCGGTTCAAGTCCCTCCTCTGACGAACACTGCCCTGGTAACCCTTGGGCAAGTCACAACCTCTCAGCACCCTAGGCATCTGAGATGGTCAATTGCAGAGGAGGTACCAACTTGCATAATCAGTGGGATTTCCTTACCTGGGAGTTCCCTATATGAATAAAATCACCAGTCCAGTCCCTATCCTGAATTGTAAAGTAAATTGTGCTTATTGGGCACAGTTTAATACGATGGTGATGAATGCTACTAAATTCACAGAAAATGTTTGACGGAACACAAGAAAAAAAATAGAGAACATGCTTTTACTAATTTACCCAAACTCCAGATAACACAGCTCCAGCACAACCAGTGACTCGGACAGTCAAGTCAGTCGAGGAAAAAATTAAGAGTCTATTACATTACATTATATGGACATAAGCGTTTGGGAGATAAAGAAAGGAAAAAGAGGAGGCAGGCTGCCTTAAGATTTTAAAAATCTCATAAGAACACCACAAGCTAAAACGGTCCAATTCATATTTACATTCGCTATTCACCGGCTGAGGAATCCTCACCAGTACCTGTATTTTTTTTGCCTTGATGTATCTGTATATAACTGATGCATCTGAACATTACGTTACTGGCACAAACAAAGCTCCACAGAAGGCAAAAAGCAAACAAAAACACACACTCAAGAACCCAGGATGTCTCAGCCACCACAAATAGTCGAGGAAGGGAAATGATAGCATTCTCTTTTATATACACGGTATCTAAAAGGTGCTCGCTGTATGCCTCCTGTCCCTGTCCCGGCCTTCAAGGACTACAGACCTCCCCCTCCCCCAAAGTCTTTGAGAACTTCTCCCCCACCCCGTGCCGTTCAAAAATACAATATGGAAGTAGGGAAAACACACTAGGCACAGACCATCGTTCGGGGGCCGCCGGCCGCAGGAGAAGGAGGAGGGGAAGTTGAAGATAGGTAGGTGGGGAGTGAGGTAGGTAGGTACCCATCTAAGCTCTCCTGCTCCCGCGGTCCCGGGGCTGGAGGTAGTCGGGGTTGGGGGGGAGGGTTAAGGGGAGAAAAACGGTAGGGCCGCAGCAGCACGTTCTCTACCCCCACCCCGCACCCCCGACCCCGTCCCCTCCCCCTCTGGGTCCTCCTCCTCGCCCCCTTCACCCCGCTATTGTTCTCCAGATCCCCCGGCATCCTCTCCCCAGTCCCCAGGCGGGCCGCCTCCCCCCGAGCGGGGACGCCGGCCCCTCCCTCTCACTGCCCCCTCCTCCTCCCCCTCCCCTCTGGAGGGGGTCACCGCGGCGGCGGCGGCAGCGGCGGCACAATAACATAAACACAGCGGTTACGGCCGGAGGAGCCGCCCCCGGGCTCCGGGCCCGGCTCTCCGCTCGGCGCCGCACTCACCCAGGGAAGCGAAGCGCGTGCGGAGGGGAGGAAGGCCCCCCGGAGTCCCCGCGGAGGCTGCCGGGGAGCAGGGGAGGACGAGAAAGGCGCCCGAGCCTGAGCCGCTGGCTGGCCGGTCCACTGAGCTCGTCCGGGCTCCGGGCCGCGTCCTCCTGCCTCCACCGCTCGGCTGAGGAACAAGAGCGCCAGCCGTCACGGCGCACGCCTCCACGTCATCCCGCAGGGCCCCGCCCCTTGCCCGCTCCCCCCCGCCCATGAAGGGGCGGGGCGATTCGGATCCAGGGAGGCGGGGCCAGCAGAAGCTGGAGCGAGGTGCTGGGAGGGCTGACCTGGGTGGCTCGAACAAGAGGCCGGGGAAGGAAAGGCGGGTCTGAGTAGGGGGCGGGGCAAAATGGAAGTATGAATGAGGGGCGTGGCTAGAGCTGAGCCCAACAGGGGGCGACGACTGCGTTTTTGTAAGTTACTCTGTTGAGTGGCTGATATTGACAACTCACATTTCTGTAGCACTTGATTAAAAAATAAAAACGGAGGGGAAATGAAATGAATAATTTGCTGTTAGAAAGACTCAGGTTCAAATTCCGCTTCCGACCCTGGGAACGTCACTCAACCTCAAGGTGCTTCAGGCAAATTCCTAGGATTTCACTGCTAACGCACTACCAGAGTGAAGTTGGTGAAAATCGCTTGACCTCCCCGGCCTCGGCTTCCACTTCCGTAAAATGCGGGGGTTGGTCTCTCTGTACTCTGAGGGCCCTGCCTAGTTTTTATCTTCAATGCTAGCGCGCCCAGGTTGAGATCTGAAAGGAGGGAGTTTCTCCTTAATGACAAAGCTACAGATCTTTCTAGCATCCCAGTTTATTTTGTCTTTAAGGAAAAAAACCATACCTTTTCTTCACAACCTCCTGGTCAGCTAGGTAGTGAACGTCTGTGGAAGAGGAAACTGGTAAGTAGAACTAAAACTATGCTTTCCACTCAAAATACCATGCTGCTTCTCAGTGCCAAAGAAGCTAGCCTAGGGCAAAATTGTAAAGTTGAAAAAGAAGCTGTGTACTGTATTCTGTTTCCCTACTCTCCAGCCCTGCCCCTTTGTAAACCTCCGATTGGAGCAGTCACCTCCCTCCCCCATTTCTCGTCTTTGTTGTTGTGTGGAGTTCAGAGCTTTAGGATTCAGTGCAGCTGGGTTTTTATTCCAGCCTCTTCCATTTACTAGCTGAGTGACCTTGGGCAAGTAAGTGATTGAAGCTCCAGTACCTCACCTGTAAAATAGGAATAACAGTACTTGTATTGCCTAACCCAATCACAAATGAAATGATGTATAAAAGGTATTTTGTAAAGCATAGTCTATATGTCAGTAATGCACTCAATGGGGCAGTTAGGTGGTAAAGGGGATAGATCACTGAGCCTGAAGTCAGGAAGACCAGAATTCAAATTTGACCTCAGATACCTATTAGCTATGTAACCCTGAACAAGTCACTTAACCCTGATTGCCTCAGTTTCCTTATCTGTAAAGTGAACTGGAGAAGGAAATGCTAGCCACTCCAGTATCTTTGCCAAGAAAACCCCAAAAAGTTGAAGATGACTGAACAACAGCAAATCTACTCATCTGTCTGTAAAACACCCCTCAGTGCTTTGTTAAGTAGCATATAAATGTCTGTTCGCTTTAACAGCCTGGTATAGAAGAACCAAATTCAAATCTCACCTCTAACACTAGCTGGCTATGTGACCCTGGAGAAGTCACTTAAACTCCCTGTTTCTGTTATACCGAGAAATGAGCGAGTTGACGACCCAAGCTAATTTTAAATTGTGGACTTTATTAGCGCGGCTGCCAGGGATATTCACATCCAAATCAAGCAGCCCCCATCAGGGGTTGAGCTAGGGTTTATATAGGGAGTATACAGGACAGGGAGGGGGATGGATCTTTGAAGTCTGGCTGGTCAAGGACACCCTTCTCCCTCTGTAGATATGATAATGCTCTGCAAACTTTCCTGAGCAGCCAGATAAAGGTCTTGCTAAGGAATTTGGAGTTTTCCAGAGATATGATCTGAGGGCTAGGACCTGAGCAGCCAGATAAGGATCTTGCTGAGGCCCATGCATGAATACTGCTAGGCACAGCGTCCTTGGGCTGGGGAGTGGTTGTTAGAGATAGTGTTTCTGAGACTAGGGAGGCATTTTGGGGCAAAAGTATAAGCACAAGCACCCGAGCACCCCATCATTACAGGTCAGGGATCACACAAACCAGACCAGGTGTCCTGGTTTCTGGTATAAACATAATTATCTAAAGCCATTGTATTGCAAGTTTTCTTATCCATTTGCTTTGGAGGTATGGGCTGTGCTTAAGCCATGCAGGAGTACATTTCACTATTGTTTAGATTTAGGAGGAAAGAGGTCTGGGGCAAGATTAAGCAGCAACTTCTGCTTTCCATTGCCTAAAGGGCCCTACTACCTAAATGGTAAAATAATGTTCTGCATTACGTTTCCTCATCTATGAAAGAAAGGTCAGGCTAGCTGTAACAGAAAGTAATATGCTCCTATGACCAAGCACTTCTTACCTGAAAGATGGTGAGAATTCAAAAGCAAAACAGTCCCTGCCATGAAGGAACTTCCATTCTACTGAGAGGAATTAACATACGTAAAAAAAAGATATGTACTAAGTAACATATCTTAGCTGGTATAACTTAGTAGATAAGTCCTAGAGCCTACTTGAGGCTCAGAGAGATTAAATGAATTCACACTGCTAGTATGTGTCAGAAATGGGATTTGAATACAACTCTCCCTGATTCCAAGTCTAGCCCTCTATGAGCTATGCAACAATTTAAATCACTTGTAAATCAACTTTTATCTAAATATAGATGTTAGAGTTGGAAAGGATTTCCAACTTTCTCATTAAAATAATAACTGACATTTGTAGAGTATAAAATGTGCAAAGTGCTTCCACTCAAGCCTCACAGCAATACTAGGAAGCAGATAATAGTTATCACTATCCCCATTTTATAGATAAGAATACTGAGGCATAGAAAATTTATGTGACTTACTCAGAGTCACATAACTTATTACTTGCTTATTAGCAAGAGTTGAACAAACTCTTCCCAATACCAAATGCAACACTCTATATATACTGCCTCCTTAAAGTAGTTAAAATGGTCTGTCTAAAGGCACCCAGATCATTTTAGCTTGTCCTAGAATGCGCTGGGTTTTCTGCTTCCTTTCCCACTGTTGGTCCCATTGCTATTACTTTCTGTCAAAAACAGGGATCCTCCCTTTCCTTTCCCATGAAGAAAAATAAGTATGACTTGAACACAGGAATATTTTAATTCTCCACCTTATTGTGATTCTCTTTTCTGGTGAGGTTACAAGTCACTGGTGTCTTGGCCAAGATAAACTTGATGATTTGTACAGAGCTGTCTATCTCCAAGTGTCTATGAGGAAACAAACAGCTCTGCTTTATCAACATGTATGGCTACCAAGTTAAACACAGTTATACACACACACACACACACACACACACGCTGCTCCTCACATTTATGCCAAGACCATTGTTGTGTCACCATTTGTCAAAATCAATTCTTTCTTAAAATACATATGACCACTTATATCACCCTTCATCCACATGCATTGTTACCAACAAGTGTCGTTCTTTTATTTTCACTTTTTTTTAAAGCACAAAGCCTACAAAGTCTTTTGATTGTGAATGTGCATCTTGGGGAAAAGGTTATGTTTAGTTTTCACTTTTACAGAGGTAGGGTAAGGAATCATGAAAAATGCAAGTTAGTTTCAAGGAATACAAAATTGAGAAAGCATAGAGAAATAGAAGTAAAGATGATAGATAAAAGGTAGATTGTTTTGATACTTGTGGTCCTGGTATACAACTCTTAACGATTCACACCCTGCCTCCCCCAAGTGATCCAGGCAGCAGAGTGCAGAAGAAAGAAAGGGAAGAAGGAGAGAGAGTTTTTTGCTTTCTGTGGCTATATATACCCAGTCAGTCAAACCCCTTTCAAGAGGTAGGATATGTGCCAGGCTGTATGCTAAGTACAAGGAATACAAATATAAAGGAGGAATAATCCCTGCCCTCAAGGAGTTTAAATTCTAATTGAAGAGAACACATATAGGGTAGTGGTGAAGAGGGAAGGGAATTCTGATATAAGGAAGCAAGGGAATGGTGGATTGATGCATAGGGCAGCTTCCTTTTCAGAAGCAAGAGCAATTAATAGATTTAGGCTGAGAACCTGGATTCAGATTTTGACTCTAACTTTTTACCTGTATAATCTTGGGTAAGTCACTTCACTTTCTCTGGGATTCCATTTCCTCACCTATACAGAGAGAGGACTAGTCTCTATTCTCAGAGGTCTCTTCCAATTCTAGACTCTGATGCTATGACTCTGCCAACTTCCTCAATGTATGCCATACCTGGCTTACACAATTTGCCTCTACTCCATCACCTGTTATTATCCTTAAGATTTCAGCATCTATTTTGATAATCCTCCCATCCATCTGACTTTACAATTCCTCTACTGCCTTAGTTCCAATGACTTCATTCTCTAATTCACTTTAGCTGCCATATGCTTGATCAAATCCTGGACCTTACCATCAGTTTGAATCGCCTCTGCTACCAAGGTTTTAAATTCTGAAATCCTTCTCTTTCACCAAACCCCTTTATTGTTCTATCCCTCCACTCTCTTACTTCCCCTGAGTCTGCCTTTCACCACTTATTGTGACCTCCAGTCCCTCAAGACCTCCCTATTCTTCTCCCTCATCAACCAGTTTCTGGTCTCACTCGATGAAACTAAGCTGATGCTTTAGCCCCCATCTCAACCCACCCTTCATGAAATGCATGCCAATGGTACTATAATTACTTTGGTATGTACAGAAACAATGCAGAGGGGTTGACAGTCACCAGTAATAGTGAACTTGTGACCTGGGTTTTTAAATATGCCATGCAGCTGCCCTAGGCTGCTGGTTGACACTTCCTAGGGTATTTGTAGCTACTATTAACAAAGAAAGCTACTGTATACTAATTGGGTTGTTCAATGTTCAGTCTCCTTATGACACTGTTTAACTTGTTCCCTACTAACAGTGATCTAGGGAAAGTGTCTAGCCTCAGCTCCTTCTCAGCTATTTATTAGTTGTTACTGACATAAATCTAACCATTTGGTTCTATTTTGCTTTATATTTATTTGTGTACATTGGGTCCGA